TTTCTATTATTTTACATTAAAGATTGATTATGCATCAAGTTATATTTTTTATTTATTTACAATTATTGACAATTATATAAATAATATTTTATTTAAGCAGATTGAGTGTAGTTTTTATAACGCATTCAATTCTTTTAATAAACAATAAAGAGCCAAATCGCAGGATTGTTACAAATATTTTTTATCATTCAAATTACAAATAAACAAATCAAAAAATATTTGACTATTATTCAATCATCTTCATTGTTTGTTACTTTTGACGTAGTTCAAAGAGCCAATATTATTATATTTATTCAGTTTTTTATTCTTGACATTTAAAATTATAATAATTAAATTACATACAGTATTGATTCATGAAGAGTAATTCTGTTGGAATGACATTCGTTAGAAGAACATGTAAAAATAATTAGAGCTTTTATCAAATTTTTTCATATTTTTAAGCTTAAATCATTTCTTTATTATATATTGAAGTTATACATATATGTAGTCAGCCTAGCAGATTAAACGCGGAAGATATTTTAAACATTCAACGAGATTGAGAAAGCGTTTGAGCAAGCCCGTTTCTGTGGGGGTGCTCATCAAATCTAGTGAATTCTTGCCCAGGAGGTAAGAATTCTTAGTGAGAGTTTTAATAGAGAGTGACCCGAGTTATGCAAAAGTTTAGAGTAATTGCGAGAACCGACGAACTAACAACGCGTAATCGGATGCAAATAAGATGCAGTTGAGGAAGTTACAATTCGAGTAGAAATTCTATTTAAAGGGAGGACAAGTTGCAGGATCGTTACATATTTATACTATCAGCAGGATTGTGCCTCAAGAATAGGCAAGGAAGTTTGGCAGTATTTCACGAGTTAATGATTCTTCTTATCATTCGCCTTAAGCTAGATTAAGTAAACTCGTTTAAATATCTACTTTAGCAAGATATATATTATATGTATTTTAACGATATATTATAACAATAATGAATTTAACTCTAGCTGTTATATACACGATTCTCCAGTTTTTTACTGATGAATCGTTTGTTGTTGTGTCTGTTAATTTTCATCATTTTAAGTATACAAAAATTATTAAGTATTTACGGATATTTTAACAAGACGGAAGCGAGTGACGTTGTACTATTTGTCATATTGTAATTCTTATGCTTGCTGTAAAACTTGATCTAATCAATCAACTAATATTAGAATTAATACTAAAATTAGATGGCTATGACCACAGTGACTATATATACAAGCTGTCCCATAAAGATCGTAATAATACTTACGGAGAGATTTCTGAAATCATTTTGAGACTAAAATGTAAGGAATTGTAAAATGTAAGGAATATCTAAATGTAGGAAAAAAAATTTGTTTTAATAATAAATATCAATAATTGGAAATATTTATAATTTTATCTTTGCATTTTTATCTTACGTTATCTTTATATCGATATTAACAAGAGGCGACAATACTTTCGCTTTTAACATTTTATGTTGTAACATCTGAACGTGCAAAAGACGATATGATTTGCTATCTTTATAATGTCATTATGATCTTTACGAGACACCTTGTATATATTCACAAATAAAAACTTTATCTCGTTATTATAGAGGAAAGTCGCCGATACCGACATACATTTTGTTTTTAGACAATATTTCTTAAATAAAAGGTAAAAATAAAACTTTAAAAATGAATAAAAATGAACTAAAAAGTGTCTTCTATTAGTAGATAGTATTTATAATAGCAGTTTTTATAATACTGTTTGCAATTTTGCAATAATTAATTTTTTCGTAAGATAAGCAAAAATGAGCGTCTGACAAAATGAGCAAAAAACTCACAGTAGATAGTAATGCTACGTATTCTATTCTTTTTCTTTTACAGGAATTATCTGTATGAAGTATCTACAAGTGAATGATATATAAGATTTTCTAGAATCTTTTCGTTATAAAACATTTTTTATTGAATTATATGCATATTTACTTTATGCTGTTCTGCAAATGTAATGCGATAGTTTTTCAAGAGCTTTCCATATATGCACAATTACCTCCAGCAGAGCTATTTGACACTATAAAGCAACATTATAAAGAATTAAGTTAGCTTATGGTTTGTATTACAGACAGGTGTGGCGTTGCACCCCAATTTTTAATTTAAAATCGTATTATGAAAAAAACTAAGAGAAAAAATAAAATTGATTTTATGATGAGGAAACTACAAGCATTTAGAATGATGTAATATTATTAATAATGTAATCACTGTTATTTAAACTAAAACAGGACATTAATACGAAATTATGAAATGCTCAAAAATTTATCTGCTTTTGAATCGGACTTTTTTCTTTTTCTATTGTGATACTTATTTGATTTAAATGAAACTTAAAGAGAAGTATCTATGTTGTAAAAGAAATGTTTTGCAATAACTTTTCCATTGTTTCCTTTATCATAAATACATAAACGGAACGCAATGTCAATTTGCTCTTATGCTCAATGAGCCTTGATTTTCCTTCCTTAAAAAAGCTGTAAGATTTGAAAAATAGACCTTGCCTTTTAAAAATTATATTTCTAGAAAGTATTTGTAAGATTATTAAGGTTATTAGAAAAAAGAAAAGATCATACATATCATTATTATTTATCTAGGTGCTTTCAGTATTAAAAAAAAGGAAATGCACAAAATACGAATGACCCATTGTGTGTAATAGAGGATTAAAAGACTAAAATGATTCATGACACCTAAATATGAAGATTGCTAACTTTCGATCAAAGTTAGAGGTTAAATTAATATATATACATATATGTATTATATATACAGAGTATCCTGAATTTAAATGGCCAAACTTCAGGAGAGAGTGTAGGGAATCAATAACCAAGAAAAAAGTTCTTCAGAGATATATACTCGCTTTTGCTTCGTTTTGAAGAAAATCGCAGAAACATAATTTTACATTGAAACAAGAAAAAAGTATAGTCAATTTTAATAAATTTTTAATCCAATGCCAACTAAACATTTTATTTACTGTAAGTAAATAAATATTTTAGTTCAATAAAAAAAAATAGTGACAGCTGTTTTTGGCGGTTTCAGAGAGGTTAAACATCTACTAATAATATTCAGTTTATATCTTTGAGTTTCATACAAAAACCTTGATTTTTACTATGTTTGAAATATCGAATTTTATGTTAATCAAGCAGCATTTGCGGGAGGTTTTGATTTTCTGCTTTAATTGGAAGAAAAAGTGCGGCTGAAGCCCATCGAATGCTTGTCGAAGTTTATGGTGACACTGCTCCAACTGATAAATCATGTAGGGAATGGTTTCGACGTTTCAAGGATGGAGATTTCAGCATTGAAGACAAGCCTCGCTCTGGATAGCCAACAAAATTCGAAGACAAAGAATTAGAGGCATTACTCGAAGAAGATCAGAGTCAAACGCAAGAGGAGCTTGCAGAATCATTGGGAGTAACTCAACAAGCCGTTTCTGTACGATTGAGAGCCATGGGAATGATTAAAAACAAGGAAATTGGATGCCTTATAAACTGAAACCGAGAGATGTTGAAAGGCGATTTTTCACTTGCGAACAGCTGATTCAAAGACACCAGAGAAAAGGTTTTTTTTGCATCGGATTGTGACTGGAGATGAGAAGTGAATATTCTACGACAACCCCAAGAAGAAAAAATACTACGCTAAGGTTACCGATCAATCGTTGCCATCGACCTCAACATCAACATCACGGCCGAACATTCATGGTTCGAAGATCATGCTCTGTATCTGGGACCAAAAGGGTCTTGTTTACTATAAGCTACTGAAACTTGACGATTCTATTACGGGCGATCGGTATCGGCTACAATTGATTCGTTTGAGCCGTGCATTGCGAGAAAAATGGCCAGAATACGAGCAAAGATAAAGTTAATGATAAAGTTATTCTTCTTCATGACAACGCTCATGTCGCTAAATTCGTAAAAAAATATTTGGAAACGCTCAAATGGGATGTTTTACCATATCCGCCGTATTCTTTGGACATTGCTTCTTCTGATTATTGGTTGTTCCGAAGGATGCAGCAAGTCACCGCTTCACTTCTTTCGCAAAAATCGAAAATTGGCTCCAAAATTGGATCGCCTCCAAAGACGAGTCATTTTTTCGAGATGGAATTTGAAAATTGCCTGAGAGATGGGAAAAAGTAATAGACAGCGATGGACTTTAATTGATCTGTTCATTCATTTTGTTTTGAAATAAATGCGCAAAAAATGCACCGAATTAATTGTACTCCTAATAAATCAAATTAATATTTCCGATATCAAATAAATATATATCTTTATATTTAATAAATATTTAATTGGCACTATTCAACTAAATATTTATTAAAATTGATTATATTTTTTTTCAATGTACGAAATATTATTATTTTTAAAGCGGAATATTATTATTTTCTGTACGACTTTAACAATAATGCTTTGAAGATAGTGCGAGAGTATTGCATGCATGCACACCAATTTCCAGACAGAAGAGTGCGAGATTAATGAGTCATTACGTTGACCAAATCGAGTGTTTGACTGCAACACGAACTATCTGTGCAAGATGCAATGTGTCATTGTTGTAAGAAGCCAACATTTTGAAATCTGCATTAAGCAAACGACAATGTCAATAAATAAGTGTGAATGAATAAGTAATAAATAAGTATAAAAATGAAAGCTATTTTTTTGCGATTTTCTCCAAAACGAAGCAAAAACGAGTATATTTCTGAAAGATTTATTTTTATTGATCCCTTATGCGCTTCCGAAGTTTGGTCATTTAAATTCAGGACATCCTGTATACTCAATATATATAATACATATATATTTTATCTCAGAACATATAACTGTGCCAATTACGTTTCAATACAATCATTCTGAAATATTAATAATAATATTCTCCTTCAAATTTAAATAGATAGATCTTAAAATCTGCAAAGAACTCTGTAAAATGATTTAAGTGTTCACATCATTATATATATATATATATATATATCGATATATTATACAGCGGATTTATATTTCAATTAAATCACCAATATTTCATGGTATTTAAGGATTTTGCAAGGATTTTTAGCTTTGTTGTTCCTTTCTCTGGATCCTGGATCAAAATTTCTTTGTCCTCTTCGTTCCTGAAAAAAATAAAAATAGAAGTATATAAGATTTTTATTGTAATAAGATAATGTGCAGTTCCTAATTCATATATTTATATATTTTATTAAAATATTATGCAAGGAATATTATGCAATGCAAACTCACAGATTTAAGATCACCAATACGATACCGCCATCAGACGTGGAAAATGCAACCTTTCGCATATTCGCGATATTCTTCGATTTTATGCCAATTCTCTTACTGCCAGGTGGGACATACCTATTTAAGAAAAACGCTTAGTTAGTAATAGAAATATTGGTAAAACACAATAGACAGATATTAAATGTGACTATTTTACAAATTATTCCGTTTTTACAAGTTTTTACAAGTTAGGTTTTATGTAATGCTATAAGTATCAATTGAGATACAAAGGTATAGTGTACGGACTTTGAAAAATGTCCAATTGCATAGAACATCGGTTGCTTATAGAATTCGTTGGCAGTGCTATTGACTATTATTGGAGAATCAACAAAATTTTGGATCCAATTAGGTCCACCATTCGTATCTAAAGCAATGTTCCAATCGATCCAAGTGGACACCCAATGCGACATGTTTTCAATAATATTCGCTGCGTACAATTCGGCACGTTTCCATGATCCCAGTATCACTTTTTGGTCTGTGAATAATTATATATTATTCACTAAAGGCATGCATAAACTGTAATTTAGCCCTTATTTGTATTTTGTAAAAATCATTAGAGTAAAGCGATGTTTAATTGAGATAGGATTAACAAAAATTTTCAAATTGTATAAAATATTGAGGTTACACAGTGTATTCAATTAAAATTATTCAAAACATACACAACATATACTATTGATGCAATGGTTTATATTTTGTATGGAATATATTATGTGATTAAAATTGAGCAAGCATTGAGAACACCGTAACTCGGTGAAAAATCATTGCAGACGAACAATCAAAAAAACATTTGAAAGCTTAAAATCATCACCTTTTGAAATCGAAATTGAATATAATTGATTCAATTTGACTGATCCTTTACGAAGCTATATAGACACAAATGAATATTCGTCAAATCTGAAAATTTTGTATTATACAAATTTTAGGAAAGTCTCTAGCGTGAAATAAAAATGCGGTTTACAACAGTCAAAAGAGAGAATCTTTACCTTCAATTTGATTTTTTATCAACTTTTCGAATTATTCAACATTTTTTTCATCAAGTTATTCAACATTGAAGCAAAAATGATCATCTTTGCTTCAATAACTTGGTGAAAAAAATTCATACAATGCTCAATAAAAAAGCAAATTAAAGATTCAAGATTCACTCTTTTGACTGTTATACCGCATTTTTATGATTTTTATACTTCAAGCTATAAATCTTTGTAAGTTTGTACAAAATTTTCAGATATCCATTGATATATCAATTATCGATTTCAAAAGTACAGATTTCAAGTTTTCAAATGATTTTTTGATTGTCTGTAATGATTTTTTATCGAATTATGTATCCTAGATATTGCGCAATTTAGAGCGTGTTCAAAAGTGTTTCCTATTTTTTGATGAGTAGTATATAATTATATATGTTTTAAATGTTTATATGTTATGTATGTTTATATATATATATTTGTATATATTTGTGCATGAACATTTTTTATCCATTTTTTATCCAATTTTTTATCGGGTTATAATGATAATTTTCGGTTTCTACGTAGAAAAACATGTTAAAAAAAATGTAAAAATAAAATGATCTTCGAGTAGTTGTTTAAAGTTGTATTCACTTTTACAAGGCTTTTGTTTGTTAATTTTGTTTTTTAAATGGAAAAAAAATAAATCCATAATAAATGCATAAACATGCAAAATTCTTTTTTGTTTTGATATTATAGAATAAAACTTAGCAAAAATTTTTATAAAAAATTGTTATAAAAGGTAGTAAAGGATTATGAAGAAAAATATTTTTAATATATAGAGTGTCCCTCATGAGAAGTTATTGAAATTAATCAGCTGTCATTTTTAAATGCATATAGAAATAAAAAAATAAAATATTTTTTAATAGAGGAGATTTTATTTACATGTAAAGAAAAAACAATCGAACATATTTGTATCATTAATTAAATGTTTAATTAAATGTTTGTAATATAAATACTAAATATCATTAATCTTAATGACATTGTTTTAAAAGAACTTTATTTAATATTTCTTTTATCGAGAGAGATGTTAAATTTCTGAAATATATATATATATATATATTATTACGATTAGCAATATTTTTATAAATTTATTAAATGAACACAAGTATGTTCGATTGGTTTTACTTTACATGTAAAATTGATAAAGTCTTCTGTTAAAAAATACTTTAGTTTTCCTATTTTCTACGTGCGTGTATTATAAAAATGATAGTTTAATTTTAATTAGTTTAGTTTAATTTTAATTTATCTTGAGACATCTTGTGTTATAATAAAAAAATATAAAACAATTAAAAAATATAAAACAAAAAATATAAATAGTAGAGAAATTTTGTATTTAGTTTTGTTGTCGAAACTACTAGTTTCATCAGAGAAGAAAAAAAAGTTAATATAAATTGAAAACACAAATCTTTACCAACCTTCGAAAACTCCAGCGCAACCTTCCGTGTATAATATTGAGTGTTCTGGAAACAGCTCTTTTATTTCATCCAAGACACTCGGACTGATAAAATGATCAAAATAAAAATGGACCGCAGTTCCAGAAACAATATCTTTTGCTCTTTTATCTTTAAATACTATTTTTGGCCAATCAGGCAACGATAGTCTGGTATCATCCATTATGAAGATTTTGATATGTCCGAAATTATTTTTCTTTAAGGTTGGCGCCAAGTTATCGATAATCCAGTCACGTTCTTCCTCGGCTGTCCATGCCATTGCGTTGATAAGCGTATTATTATTAGTTAGCGAAATATACTTGTAATTTTCTGGCTCATTCTGAGGCGTTGTAGCCCAGAATTCTAAACCATTATGACGATAAGCCTCAAAAAATCTATAAAAGTAAAATGATTTATAATAATACGTTTCAAATATCTCGGGAAATTTTATGTAACTGTAACATTGTTTCATAGTACATGAAAATGAATCGTGCAGTGTAGTAAATTAGAATATTTTGATTAATTATTATGAAAGAGAATAAGGTGAATATAACTTAATAAAAATATTTTAATGGTAATTACTTTACGAAATAATCTGCCCATAGTTGTCGATATTCTGGACGTAATTTACCATCAAGCGTCCAAGAGTTCTTAGTTTTCATCCAAAGACTGGCGCTCCATGGTGCAGTCAACAATTTAATTTTCCCTTTTTTTATTTTTTGAGCTCGTTTTATTATCGGTATCTATTGACAATTAAGATTTCTATTAACAATTTAATAAAATGTGTATACATTGTGTATATATTGTGTAATTGATAATTATATCATTCACTTAAGGAATCAACGTTTTGGCTATTTTTAATAGTATCAGGTAAACAATTAGTCAGAAAAAATTAATATCAGATAATATCATTTAAAAAATTATGATACTTTTAGTTCGAAATGCGCCTTTAAATTATAAAAAGATAAAACAAATAATTTGAGTTATAATAATTGCAGTTTTATTATTTGCTGCAGTTTTAGGTCAATAAAACCATTATAAGTCTTTTAACTTTTAAACGAGTAAAGTTCATGAATCCAAATAAACTTTTACATAGATATTTATTATTGTTTTATTATTGTTTTTTTTTTAGTATGCAGACTATTCTCGGTTTAAACCATCAAACTTAAATTATAGGAATCTGAAAACAAATAAAATTTTTCTTTGGAAATTTGCTTGCAAATGTTTTATTTAAGAGATAATAAATAATGTCGAAATATCTTAATTTTGTTTGCTCTGAAGCAAAAAGCATATGAAGCATCTGTTATTGACTTTTAATCACGAGGGATACAAGTATGCAAAAAAATTATGCACAATATTAGTCAGCCAGTCGATCGTTCTCTTATTATTAATAGATGCAATACTCTTTTCAACGCTGAAAGCTATTATTTTAAACAGAATATTCAATAATCACATTTTGATTATTGTAAAGTATTATGGAGATAATTTAAGTTATTTCGACATTATTCATACCTATTATAAAATTGTAATTTAAAAAGTCAATATTTCTTAAACAATATGTTTGAAATAAATTACAGAGAAAAATTTTGTTTGTTTTCAAGTCCTAAATTTATTTTTGGCGGTTTGACTAAGGACAGCTCTACAACCACACACACACATACACACACACACACACACACACACACACACACACACACGTGCCCGCGCGCGCATTAACTTGTTGCTTAAATAATTTAAAAATCTCGAATTTTTAAATAAGTATCATAAAAACAATTTTACGTAAAGGACAAACAAAAAAATTAAATACAAAAACTTTTAAATTAATAAGAGAATTGAGCTCAAATTTTACACAGATACTCCGACAAAATTTGCAGAACAATTTGAAATTTGTATATTTTTGATTTTTTGATATAACACATTCTTAATTTTAGAAACACAAACATTTTCTTAATTTGTCTATCGATATGCGAAAAAAATGAACTATTTGTCAGATATATAAGATATATAAGTCAGATATATAAATAGTTGAAATTAATCAATAAATAATTAAACCTTGAAAAGATTATCCTCTACTTGCAATTCGAAGTGATGAAGCGAAGTATCGTTTTCTACCATTGCGTAAGTATAAGGTCTCGTTGAGAAATCACAGCCACCCATTGGCGTTCTAATGAAATTGTAATTGATACCATGCGGACCAAAGTAGCTTCTAGAATTTGAAATTGAATGTGAAATTAATTTTTAAGAGAAGTCACTGCGAATTTTCTAGATATGTTAACTGTGTTGAATGAATTAGCAAAATTCTTTTGAAATTAAACGATTTTCATAATTCATCATACCTCAACAACTTCTCGGACACCTCGAGCGTTAGGTTATGAATGTTCATAGCCGCTGAATCAGTTACAGCTCCACCAAATCCATAGATTTCTTGGTATACATCTTTTCGATTTATAGTGATCTTTCCCAATGGAGCTGATTCTATATATTACAAGGCATTTGGGATATAATTGTGGACACAAATGATTGGATGACACTAGGCTGCTCTAAACCTACTCGGATAGTCTTTTAGGCCGGTATTCATAGTTTGTTCTTATTATAAGATCATCTTAAATAATATCTTAAAATGTTAATAGGTTCTTTGATTAGTTTGTGACATCTTAAGACTGTACTTAAGACACTCTTAAAAATCAAGTATGTATACCGGTCTTAATGACTTTGATGTTTCAAGAAAATAACTTCGGTACTTACTGTCAATCGTTTTAGACTTTTTGTATATACCGTTTGATACGTGAAAGAGAAAACCACTTTTGCTAGATGTTATTAGGAAATATTTAGAGTAATTGGTTGTCTTGCTCACGTTCGGAGCTTCATCGCAGTACGTCATATCGCAAACGCAATAATATCCATCATCTCCGCTTCCGTCTCCAAACTCTGATCGACGTTTGATTTTGCAGCCATTTGTTGACTCAACTAAAAAGAGTCCATCAAAAAATATACTTAATTAATTGCTTCATTACTATTATATTATGTACGCATTTTCACATTTCTCTGCATTCTATTATTTTAATAGAGCTTCTATGAAAATTAAACGGATGAATCTACGCCAATACATATACATATAATATCTATACAGATATCAATACATTCTAAAATTATTAAATAAAATGGAAAATTTTGTCACATGTTTTTTGCATATCTCATATAATATTTTTAGTTTCGAAAAATAAAGGTATTCACATTTTTGTAAAAAAAATGGTGAAAATATAATAAATCCCGAATAAAATATATAAAACTATGTTTAATTACAATGATATTTTCTTGATATGAACAATTAATAATAATTATTAAAAGGTTATAAAAAGTATTATGACAGTATAATATAAAAGAAAATTATTGTAAATTATTAAAATATACAATAAAAATATTCATTGAAATATAAATATAGGAAATTGCAATATAGATAAAACTATGTAAAGAAATTTTCAACTTATTTTATTCTGACTATATTGAATATATATGACTATATTGACTACTCTTAAATATGTACGACGTAATTGAGCATCACCTAATTATCGCGAGAAATTAGAAGTAAAAATCAAAATATATTTTAATATGTAGCTTGATATATATATATATATATATATAAAATATCATTTTTATAACGAAATCTTTTGTGTCTATAATCTTTCCTTGAGACCAAATGTTCAAGGGTTTACAAATTAATAAAATATAATGATATGAAAGAAAACTTCTACTTATTATTTTTAAAATAAGATTAAAAAAATGACGTAAAGAAAATATTTCAGGAGAAAATAAAATTTAATATCATTTACATTAAATAAGAATACATTAACAAGTCAGTTTTTTCATGTTGCAGTGAAGTTAAGATAATAAAATGCAAAAATTCAAATAAATTATCGGAAGACATAGTAAGATCTCTGGTATCAAATTATCAATTATTATAATTTTCACATTTATATATGATATAGTTAATTTCGAGACTTTATATAATGAAAAAAAGAGTCTAATTATAGCCACTAAATCTTGAATGAAATAATTTCAATCAAATATCCGGATAATATAATTTCATTTTTTTAATATTTAATAAGTATTATCGTTGGTAATATCGTTTGATAATATTTACTAAATGTTTATAAAAATAAAATTATGTTTAGTTATCTGAACATTTGGTTGAAATTATTTTATTCTATATTTAGCTATAATCGGACTCTCTTTTTAGGATTTCTTTCTTATTCATTTTTTTTGCTTTCAGATCTTTTTATTTTTACTTCTACTTTTGTTTTTACATCTACGTTTAATTTCTACTACTTTTATAATATATAGTTTCTTATTATTATTTCTTTTTTCTCTCTTTTTTTATCTGTCTTATATCAGCACCTTATATAAATTTTGATAGCTAATTCTGATAAGTGTAATTTTATTGCGGATCTGATAATGATAAACATAAAATGAAATTCATTCATTATGTTAGTTTATATTTGCGACAGTATTCTATGATGTAAATTATAACTATGAAAATAATGTTTATAAAATATAATTCATATAAAATATTTGTAATATATGCATAAAATCAAAACTTTTAAAAATTTAATTTAAAAATCTTATATTTTTCAATAATTTAATTGTTTTTGTTTTATCTGTTTATTTTTATATTAAAAAATTTTATTTTTCTTAACTAAAAAAATCTTTGAAAAATTATAAAATTTTATTTAATGATAATGAAATGATGACAATGAAAATAACATTTGACAATCTTATTTAACATTAATAAATCGAAAAATTATATTATTAAGGCTTCTACCAGAAGTTTGCACAGCTTTTGGTAATCAGTAACTTAAAAAATTAAATAGAATAAGTTTCTAAAATTGATTTAAGATTTACGTATTACTTACTCTCATTTTACAAAAAATACATTCTTAGATTTTTATTAAATGTTTCCTGGAAAATAATCAAATTTTTAATTTAATGCCACTCATTAATTTTTACATTGTAAACTTTCTTACATTTTTACTATCTTATAAATTTCCAAAATGTTATTTTCTGTAATTTTTCTTTTCTTTTAAAGTGTCTGTTTAACACATAGCTAATATCGATCTAAGATGTAATTCATGAGTATAGAAAGACATCTTGTTAACAAGTTAGACATTGTTCGTTGAAAATCAATCTGTTTAACAAGTTTAGAGTAATGTAAACGTTGCTAAATTAAATTGGATGAATAGAGGATCTTAGAATTTTCTTGAAAAAAATAAGATGAATAATTATGGATAAGACGATTCTTTATACATAAATAGTGTTTGTGTCATTATAAAGAAGTATATTTTTTTTTCACTACACTGTGACAAATTGCTTGTCATGCAAAAACTTTTTGATTCAATTTTCCAATAAAAATTAATTTTTTAGATATAAGCAATGACAATATAAGCAATAAGAATTATTCTCATTCACATTACTTGTATTGTTATTTTTAATATCGAGAGTCTATTAATTTGTACTATTTTAAATTTTAGAATCAGGAATTTCGTTATTTTATTTGTTTATCGCGATGTATTTACCTCCCTTGCTATCAAAGTTTAAAATGTTTTATTATTTTTTGACCAGGTGTGTAAAATTCTTGATTTTACTTCCTCATATTTCAAAGACATTATATTAATTATTAGAGAGAGAGAGAGAGAGAGAGAGAGAGAGAGAGAGAGAGAGAGAGAGAGAGAGAGA